TACAGAAGTTTTAACAAGTTAAAGTCTGTAATAAATCACTGAAGACAATTTCTTCCCTTTCTGCCCTCCATTTTCCTTTTAGTGACCTTGTATCCTTTCAGTGTTTTGCTGGTCTTTAGGATTTCAGTTGTCTTATGCTTACCTTTCTGGAGTTGGCTATCTTTTGTCATTAATCTATGTGTATTTTTCTTTCTCTTTTTTGGGCTCTTGAACTTTGTATTTTCCTCTCCATAGTCAGGTGAAAAGAACTCCATCGTGATTCAATTGCAAGATAAATCAATGCACTTCTGAGCGCCGTCTCAAAATCCTGTCAGCAGTGCTGAACTCTCTCCTAATTTTACAATTCCTGCTTAAAATATTTTAAGACTAATTCTCATTTTTAATATCCACATAGTGCATAGCTGTACTTATATCATGAATCTTAAAGGGAATGCTAGTGGAACTTTAGCCTGAAACTGAAAGCGCTTTGTGTAAATGAACATCTAATTGTGTGCCTTCAGGTTTTGTATACAGCACTCAGCAGATGCATTGCCAGATTCACGTTTTTAGATTTAACAGCCTGTTTCTCAGACCTGCTTTACAACTTAGTAGGAAGCGACTGTTTACACTAAGATATGTTTCAAACATCCTTTCCACTTGAACTTTGGTGTGAATAATAGAGAGAAAAAAAAAAAAGATCTGGGGAGGGGGGAATGAAGTGTTGTATATCTGAAGAGAAATGGGTTCTAGAACTCTCTGTAGTTCTAAAGGTTTCTCAATTTATTTGCTCGTTAATATAGCAAAGAGATGCTCCTGATCTTTTTCTGTTGCCAGATCTTATATATTTTTTTATTTTAGCAAATTCTGTATTAGAAAACGTGCATTCTCCAGAGAAGGAGGAGAATACCAATAAAAATGTATATCGATTCTGCAACCCAGGTGTCATTGAATTTAATGTTTTGAAGATGTTACGGGAAAACATAACGGAGTTAGATTCAATTGTAGGGCAAATGTATATGAGTTTGCAAGGAAAATTGGCTTAAGTAATATCTGTTAAGACTGAACTCCCGAGTCTGTTGCAGAAACTATGTTCTAAGTCAGCAAGATAAACTTTAATTGGTATACGTGAAGTGAACCTTAATATTTTCTGCCTCTGTGTAGGAGTGAGGTGATAAGAGTAGCAGCAGCAGGCCTAGTGATGTAGTAGTATCTTCTGAATTTAGGTGCCATTACAATAAGTGTTTACTGTAGCAGAGAAAAATTTAGTTGAATGTCTTCTGGTATTGTACTGCTCTGAGGCTGCTTCTGTCTTTGTTGCCAAGCTAGAGACCAGATGTGTGGTAGTATCGTAAACAGAAAGCTTTTTCCGCAGTAGATGTGCCCCTTGTTGGCACTGGCAGCATTAGTAATGTTAATTCTGCCCAGTGGCTGAGTTATTCTGTTAATATTCTGGGATTGAGAATGGGAATGTTTATTGTTACTTTAAAATCTCTTTGACTAACTCTGTAAAACTTCTGTCCCTAGAGAGAGTAATCTGGCTAAAGAAATGGAGAACCTCAATCTTGCATCGTCTGTATGAAACTGAGGGCATTCCTTCCCAAGAGTTAGACAGGTTGATTTTTGCTGGGTGATATGAACAGTCTTGCTTCCTCTGCAGCTGTTTGCTGGTAGAGCCTTCAGCAAACCCAGACAAAAGGTATTAAGTGTTATGTGTTACAAAATTGTATTTTCAGATATATATTGTGAGGATAATAGCTGTACGCCTGAGAGAAAAATACTTGCTTCACTTGTAGCAGCAAGTGGCAGGGTGTGTTTAAGCTAGATTCACAAAGTTGTTTTCAGCATGAATAGTAGCATGTCCTTGAGGCTGTATTTAGTAAAACTAATCAAATTTGGAGGAAAAAAAAATTACTGCTGCAGTCCTGAAGACTATGGGTGCTGCTGCCAGCCTCCTCCCTGTGCCTAGTACTTTCATTGGTTTTGCAAGTACAGTAAAAATCTGTTTTGAGGAAATGATCGGGCATGGAGTTTGAAGAACCCATAATTAATACTTCTACTCTCGTATTATTTCTAGGTGCTTATGTAACTTTTAAATGTATGGAGAGACTTAAAACTCTCAGCCCTGCTCTTTGCTTAATTTTAATTAGCTGTTTCTGTTCTGGGAGATGCTGGCATGCATAAAGCAGTGTTACATGTCGCAGGGTTTTCTAAGGCTTTGTTTACCTGCTCCAACAGGCTTGGGTGAAATGGTGGTACCTGTATGTAGCCATTTATTTGGTTTACAAGGGTGTATATCCAAATGGCAGCATCAGGATATTGTGCCATGAAACTCTGAATTCTGTAATGCTTGGTCTTGACTCGTAAGCTTGCGTGCCTGTTCTTGCACTGGCATGAAGGCTGCTGTAGTGTTAGAAACCAGTGCTGTCAATCACAGCTGCTTCAGTTTGTGGTGTTCTACTTAATCTTTTATGTAACCTACCAGGGATTACTCACTTGCTGTAATACAGGATTTTAAAAACACTTTTTGAATTGAAAAACAAATAGAAAACCCCTTGCTCTGCATATTGTTCTATTCTTGGCTTGATGAGACTATTTTTGAAGCAACCAACCAAATATTCAGAGTATATGGTCACTCTTTACAAACATAGAGCGGACAACAACTCCCCCCTCAAATTCACAGCTGTAGCCTGTGCTTTTACACTGCTCTGGTCCAGGTAGCTCCTTTGCCCAAACACACTTGACAAGGTGACCAGTGACCTCTGAAGAAACTTATGTTTCACAGGGTGTTTGGGAAAGCCCTCTTGCAGATGGACAGGTAATTTAGGGCATTGTAAACGTAGTAAGTGTATGGAGTCGGTTTTCACAGTGGACAGAGATTATAAGCATCTGTTCCTGCTTCCATTCTATTCCACATATCTAGCTTTTAATAGTATTAACAGCAAACTTTCTCCTTTCTATTTATTCGTCATGGTGAAGAAGGCTGAACTTAAGAGAATTGCTGATGAGCTCTTATTTTCCTGAGTAACTATGTGATGAACTGACATGTGTGGAAATGGCTCTCTCGCCTACAGTAGTTCTGAGCTGATTGTGTTTTGGGGAATAGAATATTGCAATTATAATAATTATAATTATTGCAATTATAATTAATAAAAAGATATGAGCTTGGGGATAGTTTAAAAATAAATACACAGTATCCAGAATGGAGAAACGTATTTTAATGCTGAGGTAATCCCATGCTACAGATTTTAAATGCAGGAAAACCAGAAGACTGAGAGAATAAACAATACTTTCTCATGGAAAGTATGGAAGAGCTTCCAAGATGAGAGTTGGCTGAATAGAGGAGGACTGTTGTTCCTGGGAAAGACACAGTGGGAGGAGATGGGTGTGGTGCAGGTTGATATGTACTTGAGCTCCTGGGGAAGAGTCCATTCACCATCCACACAAGAAGCGAGGGAGGTGAGGCAAAGCTAGCAGGTGACAGACTCTGAGAGGAGGGGATGTTCTGCAGAATGTCTGGATGCTGAGTTTGTGACTGCAGAAAGTGCCTCAGCCAAGTCTGTGGAAGAGAAGTTTGTTAAGGACTGTCTGTGCTCCATATGTTCTCCAAGACACAAATCCCTGGAGCCTGTTGGAGCATTTTGCAGGGTTTGCAGTCACTTTCTACAATCTGTGGAGTGACCTGAGGACCTGGGTACCTCAGTGTTTCAAGGCTTTACGCATGAAGCAGGGAGAAATTACCAGGGCAGCAGAAGAGCTGCCTATGGATGTGTAATAAACTAGTATTATACACCAGGTTGATGATGGGGTTCTTACGTATAGAGCTGCCTACTGGGTGTTTGTTGCAGTGCTCTGTAAGGACGTAGGCATGTTGAAGGTATCTGTGTCATTTGAGTTGCTTTTGGAGAAGCTAGCTGCAAAACACTTGAGCTATTAAATTTTTTTCTTTAGGATAGGGGTTGCATCTTGTTTGTATTGTCCTACTACAGAGGGACTTAATTGTACTTGTGCCGGGAAGCACCAGTTATAAAGATTGCATATGACAATTCATATAGAATAGGTCAGGCAATTTATTATAAAATGCTTCCATCTATAATCTATTTTTGTGATAGAGGAGAAGAGTGAAAACTGGGGCTTTGCTGCTTAATCTTTAGACAGAAATATGTAGGTGGGGTAAAACTGCATCCAGCCCTGTGTTTAAACACTAGGTAGTGTGATGCTTGGAAAAGAACAGGAAAATATGCATGTATATAAAATATAAATATCAGGAATAATACATAAATAAAATACGATTACCAGGAAAAGCTGTATAACTTCAGGTTATAGTAAAGTTTCTTGGGTTTGTAGCAGTATTTTGACGTTGCGTATTTACATAGGAACATCTTTAGACTAATGTTGGAATTCCTGAATTGCAAGGAAGTATGTTGCCAGCTCACAGGACTTGAAATGGTTCAGTCATTTTCAGCTATCTTCTTATCCCTAAAGTGTGCAGTAGCTCTGAGACAACTGTCTTTTGCACTATTTTTGCATAAGTTTCTCCCTTCCATTCTTAACCCAAAATAATTTCAGCAGTCTCTGTTGGAGTCGTGACTTCTATTACTAAATACTTGTAGTAAAAGACTGGATTTCCCCCCACGCCCCTCAACTTTCTCCCCTTGTTCTGATGCCATTTTTTGTTTAGGTAGTAGTGTTCAGAACTATGTGCTGCAGCATAATTTGAGGGATGGATAAATATTATTTTAGTTTCCCAAGTTGGTAATTTGATTGACAATAGAAGGACTAGCGTGAAAAACCAACGAGTGGTGGTACTAACTTTTTAAGCTACTAGTCATAATCAACAGTCACAAGTATTGAGATAATTGGGTTGTCTTAAAAACTGCAGATTTCCAAAAGGATTTTGGCTCCCTCAAGGAGAAAGACATCTTGCTAAATGCTTATGCCTTAAAGAGGAAAAGCGTAACTGATTTCCTGTCCTTCTGCCTGTTGAGTGAGAGAGACAGAGTTTTTTTCTGTTTTAGTTGCAGACGTTCAACACTGCTGCACCTTGCAGAGATGTTCGGGACCTGACCAGTGGAGTTGCCATGGCGCAGGTACTTCACCAAATGTAAGTTGATACTTAAGTCTGAAGAAGAGGTATTTAATTTCTTGAGGTTATGTTTGACATGCATAGTTGCTTTTAAAGTACACAGAAATTTAGAGTGGACAGTTTATGGCAGAAGAGAAGATATGCCTTTGTATTGTTGTTTTGGGGATGATATAATAGTTGAATAATGATGTGACAGAATGGAGAAGGTGATGAGGAGATATTCTAATACTGCAGTATTAAATTCATACTTAAAGGTAATTGGACAAGAATGATATTATCTTTTTCACTTTTCCCATCAATACTATATCCATGAATATCCATGCTTCAGGAAATATCTTCCTCTTTGGAAAGAGGAAATAGAAGTTCAAAAGGCATGTCTTTGTGTTCTCTTTCTCTTGGGATTGCTCAGTTTGATTTAGATTTAAGTTCTAGGATTTGAATGATAACTTCCTGTTCGTGTGGAAAAAAAATATGGGAATTCAATGGCAATTTTCTTATTAAGAAGTAATAGTTTGCTAATCAAAGGAAAAATCATTCCTATTTTATGGGTTTGATGACAAATGGTGCTGGGCTGAGCGACACACTAGTTTTGAAAGCTGCAGTTACTTCAGAGGGTTGTGACACAAGTCTTTTGTGGAAAGGGTATCATGCTGCAAGTCATCACTGCAATTTTATTGTTGTTGTTACCTCAGATAATGAAGGAGTTCTGAATTACCATCTCCTGCTCAAACTAGATTTTTGATTACTAAGAAATGACTTAAACACCACCCCTCCAAAAAAACCCAATCAAACAAACCCCAAAAAAGCGCAAACCGAGACACCCACCCCACCCCCCCATCTGCTTGAAAAAAATATATGTGTGCTGTGCAAAGACAGAGCTCGCCTTTTTCCTGGGGCATGGCAAAAATTGATTTAGGATTGCTTAGTGAAGGTTTTGCTGAGTGTCACGTCCCATGTGTTTGTGCTACTAGGCTGTCACAGGCTCTGGCAAACTTCTTTACAGCCAAGTTGATTGATATGCAAGTGGGGATAATAATAGTCTTTTATTAGGTGCTTTGAGGCCAATCAATAAACAATACAGTGTAAAAGTTAAGAAATTGTTAGATATGCTGTGATTGTACTGCTCAGCAGCTCAATGTGTGTAAACACCTTCCTCAGCAACCCATCCTTATTTATGCTGGCAAAGTGAATATACTTCTCCCTAGGGGAACCAAAAACGTATGAAACATATGAAATACTGGTAGTTAAAAATGTTTTTTTCCTTGATAAATGCCAGTGACAAATTGTGGTGAATGCTGGAAAATCCAAATGTACAAGAGTAGGTGCCATACTTAATGTCAGCACTAGTCAAAAGAGGATGTTTCTTTACATCATTATGATCACTTTGTTGGGTTTTAATAACTCAGCATGACAAAGGCCAAAGGCCTGCACATCGCTGTGTTCCTAGCTGTAGCTGGCTCAAACATATGCAGAAATTCTTCCTGCCCTGGAAGGTGGGGTCTTAATGGAGCCAGCAGGATTGAAGTTTCCTGTGGCATAGGTATGACTTGCAGTCTCCAGGAATTCGTGCGTCGTTAGACACTGTAGCCAATCAACTGATGATTTAATACTGGGAATGTAGTATCTTATTTATTATAGTCTGTGCTTATTGATCTTTAATAATTTAATTTTATTTCAGAGATGTTGCTTGGTTTGATGCATCTTGGCTAAATCGCATTAAAGATGATGTTGGTGACAACTGGAGAATAAAGGTATTCAAAACTGAAGTTTGTGAAACTTTGTGGGGTTGCATGTTGTCTGTCCTGAGAGCATCTGGCAGTCCAAAAAGTACATAATTAGCTCAGACTCTTTTACGTTATTTTAAATGAACTTGAACAGTCTGTTGACAGTTTAAGTGCCTTCTAACATTGTTGCGTGGGGATTTTCTGTTGTGATATATCTCTTCCCCTGTCATTATAGGCTGCTCTCATAGAGCTGCTGTGTAAATGTTTTGTTATAAATTAGAATTTAATTTTATCAAAGTTAAGGGTTTTAATAAAAGTGTGTAACCTTATCTTTCATGTATGATGATTAGTTCAGTAATCTGAAGAAGATACTGCAAGGAATTATGGACTACTATCATGAGGTATGGAAAAAGCAGCAATTTTTTTGTTCTAATCATTATACATTACAATTATTGTCTTTGTCCCCCTAGCTTTTATTTTTCTTGGCAAAGTAATTTATTCTGAGGACTTATTTGGCGGAAAGTATATGATAATTATCTGGTTAAGTGGGAGGTCTGAGTCAATATAAAAGTAATTTGAGCAAGTGTATTTTAGGTAAGACTCTTGGAGTATAATCTGGAGACCATGTCTCCGTTGCCCAGATGAATGTCATAAGGGCTGAGCTGCAGAACTCAGCTGTTGATTTCTGTGCATGCATTCATGTTTGCTGTTGTCTAGTGAAGTTTTAATCCTTCTGTACACAACAGGTTGGGCAGCTCTAATCTAGATATTGTGATACTTGGAAGTTTGGAGATAAGTTACAAATCCTCCTGGACGTAGTGAGGACTATAGTTTGTTCTCGCTTATGCGGAATGAGTACGGCAGACATAAAAGGATACTGTATTTTGAGTTCAAAAATTCAGCAATCTTTTTTTTTTTTTTTTTTTTTTCAATGGAGCTTAGTTACAGTTATGTAAAGGGTATGGTATAGAAAAACTTGCCAGATCATCTTATGCCTTCCAGGTCTCACCTGGTCTTGGCTGGGATATCAGGTGCCAAACCCTTCTGTATTGCCAGAAATGAGGTGCTCTGGCAAGCCCAGAAGTAGAATTTCTTTAGGCTTATGAGGATTTTTTTGAAGGATTAGGGAGTGACTGAAAATAGAAACATTTTTAATTCCTTATTTTATTATGTTGGTAGAATAAATTAATTCTCTCATATTTGAGGTCTAGCACAGGAGCTTTTAATTTACTACCATAGCTTTTTCTTGCACAAGTGGTCAGTTAAACCCCCAGGTAAAAGACTTTCAAAACTTGTGGTTTTGCCAGAACAGTTTATAGAACTCTTACTAAAGTGCATAACTTCATTAGACTAAATCATAGGTGTTTTGTAGACAGCATTAAGAAATATATGCTTTAGATTAAATTTAGGCAGATTCACAGAAAAATCTGAGGTGCCAAGTATGGTAAAAGTCATTGGCTAGCAGTGGCTGGAATACCCCTTCCCCCAGACACACATCCACACTGAGGGACAGAGACTGACATTTGGAATGGTCTTTGCTGGCCAGGGAGAGGCACAATGTGTGACATCTGAGTTTCGTGTATGAAACCCTGTAACAAATGAGTTAAGAGTATCTGCTTTATCTAGGTCTCTTCAGATTTCCTAATCTGTTACTGCTATCTATGTACTGTCTCGTAAGCCAGTATTTTTAGTGTGTATCTCTGCATCTAATGTTTAAAACCTTTCCCTTCTGTAAGTTTTACGGTAACAAGCTTATTAATAACCATTTTCTCTGGATGGCTTAGTGAGTCCAGATTTCTTATCTGATACCATATTTTCATGTCGTACAGGAGTGGGAGTCTACCTTCTCTCTCCATTTTCTTTTTTTCAGTTCTTGGGTCAGCAGATTTCAGAAGAGCTTATTCCAGACTTAAACCGGATATCTGAGAATTCAGATCCCACTGAACTGGGCAGGCTACTGCAGCTTATTTTAGGTTGTGCAGTCAACTGTGAAAGGAAACAAGGTATGTACTACCTAAATCTTTTCACTAAACAGCAGACTGCCTCAGGTGATTGTTAGGGTGGAAGAGACGTAGAAACTTTTTCCTCATGTATCAGAAAGTCTCTACTGTTAATACGTTGCATGCCTGTTCTGAAACTGGAGTTCACTTAAAAGCAGAAAATCTATGGGAAACTTCTGTGAATAAAACTCAAGCTTTGTTCAGGGTAGGTTTAAAAAAAGATACTCTGAAGTCTGTGTGTCTTATACTTGTTAAAATATGTACCAAGCCCTAAAACTTACTAATGAAATGCAAATCGAGCAAAGTAAATTAAAAACTTATATTAGAAACTGCCTTTTGTTTATCTGCAGAGGCTCGAGGCTGAATTAGTTGAGTTTTTCTCTCACCTTACCAAAGCTAATGCTCAGTGCTCTGATGGCTAAGGAATCTTCAGCACATTAGTAGGATAGGTGTGATTCCTAGGTAGTCTGAAATGACTGCATCAAAGAGTATTTGGGAAGTAAGCCGCCAGACTGCACTGGGAATTAAAATGCTAGCAACTGCTTTTTTCCCCCGTAAGTTTTATTTATTAACTTAATTGCAATCTTGTTGACTCTTTGTATATACATAAGCCTTTCCATACATAGATGTATGTATGAAAAAAGAACCATGTGAATACAGGTATCTTAATCTCCTTGCTCTATTATGTATAGTATAAGTTTGTTCATTTAGGAGATCATAATCTCTTATGCTTATGCACCATATTACTGGATAATAATGTTGCTGGGTAATGGTAGTGCTCTGTATGAAAAGAGCACTACCTATTTTGAAGAGGCTTTACAGAGAAATTTCTTCTGAATATTTCTGTGAATGTTATGTCATGTTACTCAAGCCATGAAGATGAACATTGTCGTGAGTCACTACAAATTTTTTTTCACAGAATACATACAAAATATCATGACCCTTGAAGAGTCTGTTCAACATGTTGTCATGACTGCCATTCAAGAGGTAAGTAATAATTCATAGCCTAATGCTGTCAGATGAGAAGTCTGAATATTCATTTGCTGATCTTGGTGAATTCTTCTGTCTAAGCAAAGATCAGGGAAGACCCTAACTACTTCCCTAAATAATCTGGGAGGATCAGGACCAAGAGACCCCAGACCCTAACCTAGGGGTTTTGATTTTAGTCTTGTATGCCCAAACATACAACTTGTGGAGACAATAAATGCTGAAGATTTCCTGGTTCACACAAGAAACGTATCTAGTTGCCAGCTGCCGATTATACTGGAGTCAGGTTCTGAAATCTCTGTCCCAGTGCTGTAGTCTTGGTCCCGAAGTTTAGCTGATCGTAAATGTTTGTGGGGCTACATTGCTCTGACAGACCAATCCAGCATCTGATTTGCAAACTCCCGACTGCATCTCTTGTCTTCTTGTCATAGTGTGCTCCCCCTGCTATCAAGGTAACAGTGGAATTGGTAGTAGGCTTTAAAACTTAAATCTAAGTTGACTATGTAGTCTTTAAAGCTATAAATGCCCTATTGGGAAGAATATATTCTTAAGCTTCTTGTTTGTTGTATTCTGACTAATCAAACTTTCTTTCTGAAGAAGGTCTAGAAATAATACTCTAATTCCTGAGTATGAAGTGAAGACCTTCAATTACTGACAAACATACTGTGTACATCCTTGTACTGGAGATCAGCGAGAGCTGTGTTAATGCTCCCATTGTTTGCTTAATGGCAATTAAAGTGAACACAAAGAAGTGTGATAACTATTAAATTAAATGTGTGAAATCCTGTCCTCTGGTTCACTCTATTTTAACTGAACGAGAGGGTAGCAGTAACTTCAACAGATCAGATTCATGCAACGAGATGGTACTGTTAATTTGGTTAATTTGGGGAAGGAGGGGTAAAAAAAGTAATCTTACTCTATTTTTTTTTAAATCCTTTCCCAACCGTGAGGTGGTTTTTAAATTATTATTAATCTGTTTTGGTATGTTGAAGGGATGGAAGGACAAGATGGAAAATACAATTGGTACTTGGTAGACAATGACTTTACAGATATTTAACTTTAATTGAACCTTCTTTTCCTGTGGCCTCTTTGTGTAGCTCATGAGCAAGGAAGTAACGGGTCCTTCCACAAGTGATGCATCAAGTGAGATGGAACAGCAGGTAACTGCCTAGTATGTGTTGCTCTTGTAGTTCAAGCCTGTACAAGAAGTTCATATCTTGCCATCCCAATATGAAGAGGAGGGCTGCTCTTCCTCTCCAAAAAAAGAAAAATAACCTCAGCTATAAATTGCGCACTTTAGTCGTCTGTCTGCACAAACTGCTTGGTCTGTCTTCCGCTTGGAGCTGATCCGATTAAATCATACTGGTTCATAAAGGACAGAGCAACATGCTGATGTAGGCAGAGAATGCACAATAAAGTAGTGCTGTTTTTCAGTGCTAATTAAGTGAAAAGTTACATGCTATTTTACAGTTTCTTTTTAAAAAAAAATGCAGCGACTGCTATGTCGTCTTCCTGGATGGGATAAAACTGGCCAGTGCACACCTACATTGCAAGACGAGCTAGGGGTACATCAAGGCTCAGCCATGTCAGGCTAAATGCTTCGGGTTATTTTTAAGGGGTTATGAAAATTCTTGATAACCTGAACACTGCAAGGTGTTGCACATAAAATGAAGTTGTCTTTAAAAGTACCTGCCCATTAAGGGGCATTGCTATTTCTATTTGGAGATGAAGGGCGTTTGATTTAACAAGCAGGGATTTTGAGATTGTGACAACACGAATGTTGCTATGTTTGGTTTTGTTATGCTTTTAGCCTAAGTTGTTGTGTTGAATATGGGTGTTACTCTGAGTTTCAATAATTTACTTATTGCATATGGTAGTTATTTAAAATGCAGGTGAAATGAGCAGAGATCCAGATCTAACAGTGTATATACAGGTTTCTGTGTCAATGTGTGTACCGTCCTTCCTGAATGTCTCCATTGGTTATACCAATTGTTTTGGAAGCTAGAACTGTGAGTACTTTGGATATGGGCCAGAATGATTGACTATCTTATTTTTTTAAAAGCTTAAAAAAGCTTTGGAAGATCTTCAGGAAGCACTAGCAGAAAAAGAAGAGTTGGCACAAAGATGTCAAGAGCTAGATCTACAGGTAAGAAACAGCAAGTTGCTTATTGCTATAATGTGTAGTGGTGCTGCTATTAAGATGCAGAAATTCTGAAGGGCAAAGTGAATTTTGCGTTTATGTAAGATTCTATAAGAATTCTTAGCGTTTGGGGGGGAAGCAATCATTCTGTACTCTGAAATGCAATTACTGGAAGTAGTTTTCTGATGGAAGTGTGAACTGAGGTCCTGTGCCGTCATCTCAAAGGTTGTTTGGTCTGCTAGCTTTGTGTTTACCGTTAGTAGCAGGTAGTCATCAAAACAGTGTTATCAGGGCTTTAAAAATTGCCCATTTCATTTTTAGTCACTGCTTACTCTAGTCTTTTGAACTGTCCGAAATATCCAGTTCATGTAATAATCGGTCAGTAGATGTAGTCCTAGGAAAATGATGCTGTTTTCAATAGGAGTTGATGAAAGACTAAATAAAATCTGAAATTTGTCTGAAATTTACTGATGTTTTCTTGTGCACGGTTGCAACATGGAGGATATTTCAGGAAACAAAAAAAAAAGGAAACTAATAGATCTTGCTGATGGTTTTCAAGCCACTGATCACAGGGCTGGTTTTGTTTTTAATGGATGTAGAAATTAAGTCAGTCTTTAGAAAAAGGAGAGAGGATTTAGTAATACACAGGAACTTGCATTTCAACCAGCTTTTTAAAGAAAGAAGAAAAAAATTAACTGTAAGTCTAATTCCTCTTTTATTGGCACTATAATCTGAGAATAGGAAGAGGTTTATCTGGTAAAGCAGTTCACCTCAGATTTGATTCTGTGCAGAGAGAACATTTGGGTGGCATCTGCTTACAGAAGCCAGAGTGCTATAATGGCTATGTGAGCCTTTGAGGTGGGGGGGAAAAAACCCACCACGAAACCAGAGGCCTATTTTACATTTCTTACAGGTAACAATGACTGAAAAGGCAGAATACTTGTATATAAAGTAGCTCATAGCCAATTGCTATGCCCAGGAAGCTGTTGTTAGAGTTGAATTGATATTTCATTTACTTTTTTTCATGAGGCAGTAGTAAGACTTCTTATTGAAAGCAGAGATCTAAAAATGCTTGTGAGTAGAATCTGCAGGAGACAGTGATTTCATTTAAATGGGCAAGAGGATTGATTTGACAGTGGAACTCCCAGATTAGTAGTTAAAGAAGTGCATTCACTGTTGAAAAGCTCTAACTTCTGGAGGTGCCGGGATAATAATTTACTTGCACTTTCTGCTTCCATTAGGTGACTTAGTCTGTCTCATTAGAGAAGTCCCAGGCTTTCTCCTGTCTCCCACAAACTTCTTTTGAGATTCCTCTGTTAATTAATGATAGGTTACATAAAGCCAGTTGCTTATAGCATAGCATGGGCCAGGTGAAGGCATGAAAGGTATTCAAGGGAAGGGTGCTGCTGAGTGTAACCGGATCAGTTAAGGACACCATTGCTCTCTTAACACTGTGGCGTGTTTTTAAAAATCTGTTAAGAATTTGTGTTGACTTTGACACCATTCCTGTTATGCTGAAATAATAGAAGAGAAAGCTATCAGAAAGGAATAGAGAAAAGATGAAAAACTTGCTCTGAGCTGTGTGATAGTGTTGTTGTTTTTTAAGTCTGAGATGGGTGTTCTTTTAACATAATTCTAAAAGTGTGAATGTTGTGTGTGTTGAAGGAGTGGCTGAACCTTGAACAGGAAGTATTATGCTGAGCAAGGTGCAGATATGCTCTCTACCCACAGGTGTTTGTGTGTGCATGTATATAGTAAAGTGACATCTGGTATGTAAAAAGGAGCGTACCTGGAAGGCCAGCATCTAATGAAGTGGTAGATTAATGGCAGTTTTGTTTCTTACATTAGTTTGACTGATACACTTTTAAATTACCATTACAAACAAACTGTTTCTTAATATTGCATACTTTAGGTTATATCTGATGTTTTATCTAATAATGTCAACATGATTTTTTAATGATTTAATTTAAGCCATAATACTGACTGACGCTTCTCATTTAAACTAATTCTTAATAAATTCACTTGTAAGGTCTCAGTCTTCCTTGATATTTTCCAAGAGTATAAGAAAGGTAGGTTTTCTTTATGATTCAGGAAAACGTAACCTGAAAAGCACATTGTCCCTGTTTAAATGCCAGTTGACTAACACATGCTACATGCTCTTATGTTTGACAGGATGTTAAAATTAACACCACAGCTTTCACTAGAAAAACTTTAAAGGTTCTATCCTTTTAATCCTTCCCCATTTTATGGCTGTTAATATACTTACTGTTTCTATGAAGTGTTGTATTCTCATTTGCTTAGCTGTGAACACTTTCAATATTAAACTTGTTTGATTGTTGCAAAAACTGCATGCTCTATATGAAGCTGTCTAGGTTTTTTCTTTTGCGTGTGTGCTTACTAGCTTATGGCGCCTGAAACTGCTTCTTGCGCAACCATTCACTGCTGAGCGCACGGCAGTACTGTGGTAGTGTGCTAGCCAGTGCCATCCTGCTTTTTATTGTGAAGTACGAGCAAGATGGGGAGTACCTTTACACCAGTACTTCAAGGTGTTTTTTTATTGTACGGCGTCCATGGTACCCTTTTTAATAAAAGTACCAGTTTCTCTCCATATCACGTTGTCTGCCTTTACCATGGTTTCAGTTACAAAAATTGTCTTTTTCTAGAGGGTCTTTTCCTTTAGTGCTTCATAACTGTCATACACTAAAGCATCTGTATGCTCAAGTATGCTGTGTAAATTACATTCTAAAATTTCTGAACGCTCAACCTTTTTCATAAACTAATTTGGTGATGTATTGCTGTCTTGCTTTAGTTCTTTCCAGTTGGACAGGTCTTACAGTGTTGATGCTGTTTTATCTGCATTAGGTGGCTGCCCTCCAGGATGAAAAAACCAGCTTGATGTCAGAAAATGAGGTTATGAATGTCAGGCTAGAGCAATTAGATTACTCTCTTGATGATGCAAATACTGTGGTTGCAAAAAAGTATTTTCATGCACAGCTGCAGCTGGAACAACTGCAAGAAGAAAACTTCAGGTATGAAATGATTTCTCTCAAAAATCCCTCGCTTGTTCTGTCAAATATATCCAGAGAATTTCTGGTACTCTTTCAGGACTTTCTGTCTCAATTTCTTGCTCTAGAAAAGCTTTCTAGTATTGTATAAACCTGTTTTGAAGACAGTCCTTACCTTTAAAAAGGAAAAGAGTGTGTTACTTGTAGAAAATATTACTTTATAATTACAATATTCTAGCCATTTGACACTTCAAAAAAGGTGATGGAAAGCAGAAAATGAGTGCTGAACTGATTTGTGTGCAATACAAGAAAAAAATCCCTGAAGGCCCCCCCAGATCACCTTATCTCTTTACGGTACTGTTTTCTTTTATATATTAGTCTTTCTTCCTGTGGTCCGTATGGGAGAAAAAAAATCACTTTTTGTTTCATCCCTTGATATTGATATGGTAAAATTGCAGTACACAATCCATTATGATTTAACAGGTAGACAAGAAAATGTTCCAATGCTACAGTGTCATTTTTCTGACTACTTAATAGGTTTCTTTTTGTCTTGTTTATTTTTGATACTTCTAGTACTAAATGAAAAATATGTAATAACAATGTGTTCTTAACAGAGTTCTTGTTTTTGATGTCATAGGCTTGAAGCTGCAAAAGATGGTTATCGTGTGCATTGTGAAGACCTAGAAAAGCGACTGATTGAGCTGCAACACAGAAACAATGAACTAACCTCTTTGGCAGAAGAATCTAGAGCCTTGAAAGATGAAAATGATATTCTTAGGTATGTAATAGAGATAGCTCCCCACACATACATGAGGAGGATTTAATGTTGAAATCCAAGGCCTGGTATTTAACAAGTTTTTTTTCCTGAGATGTTAGTTCTGCAGGTAGATCTTATCTGAACGAGAGCTAAAATAAGTGTTGGAAGAGGGCCCTTTGTCACAGGAGAGATGGAGTGCAAGCTTTCAGGTGTAGCCTCAGTTGTTTGCATAAGAATAGCAACATGGAGTTTTTCTGTGAAGCAGGCTTAGTGAATACAAAAACTATTCTTCATGTGGGATGGAGGGTGAAGGTGTGCAAGAATTAAGAAGTTTTTATGGGGCTATGTGTGTGCGTCTTCTGAAGGGGGCAGTTGTGTTGGCAAGAGGCTGCCTTTCCTGATGTCGAAAAGCATAGATGGAGGTAGAACTTTGACATAACTTTTGGTGTCAGCATTCTAGGCTAGATTTAGGTTAGCAACACGATTACCAAAATGAAGATGAGATGCACAGTAACCTCGATGAGAATAAAATTCCAGCTTGTGTAAAGTAAATTAAATACCAGACCACCCAAGAGAAATCCAAAGCAAATCGTAATGCAAAAGCAGGTCTGCTATTCCTAAAATAGCATGAATAAAACATGGGAAGAGAAGTGGTTTCAGGTGTTTAACTTATAGTTAAACATTATTCTTACATAACATCTGAAACAAATCTTAACTGTAGATTTTCTTCCATAATTTTCTTGTCCTAGCTTCTAGTGATATGAGATGGCGGATATTAAATGTATGTATTAAAATTAATTTGTGTACTTGTGATCCAAATATTTTCTTATCATGTAGATTTTTGTTAATGATCAGCTGGTAATTCTTGGTCCTATCTACTAAGGATCATTTTCATAGTGCAGTTATGTTCTAATTATGTATAATTATGTATGACCCCACAAAGAGAACATCTGCATGGTTTTCCTTACCAGGTAAAACTACTTTGAGATGACTGTCTAGCACAGGACGCTGGGGTGCATTTACATTGCACCCCACCGAATTCCCTAGAGATATTTGACACACTAACCCTTGCTTGTACTTCTGGCATATGAATGTCAGTCTTACTCCCGCTTAAAGCCTCTGGTGATTTCCGTTTGCATAAGCAATCTTTGCATAATGCAAGTTTGTGTTGATTATGCATTTAAAAATAAAGCAGTAAGGTTGAACTCTGCTGTTAAGCACGGTGCATCACCCTATGAAAATAGCTTGAATGTGCACGAAAGCAGAAATTGACTTTTTTAGTCGTTTGAAGTAACACACCTTTTCTGATTCCCGTTTATACTTTAAGGACTACTGCAGACAAGGCAAGTAAGCTGGAATCAACTGTTGAGGTGTATCGTAAAAAGCTACAGGATCTGAATGACTTCCGCAGACAAGTCAAATCTCTGCATGAAACCAACATGATGTATATGCACAATACAGTCAGTCTGGAGGAGGAACGGAAGAAAGCCAATGTAGCACGTGCCCAGCTAGAAACCTACAAAAGACAGGTAAGGCTACATCTATACCTAAGATGTTACTTTTTCCTCAGAGAGTCGTTTGGCCTGAATAAAATAATTTTAATTATTTTTCAATGAAAAACATGAACAGCTTATTTTAGCATCTTCCCTCCCCCAAGCTTGGAGGACCAGCTGTGTGTTTTGGCTGAAATGGGCAGGAGTGAAGGTTTTAACATAGCTGTTAAAGGTAGCATCTTGCAGTGTGTGTGTGCTGAATGTAGTCTTTTTTTACGAAAAGGTCCAGGAGCTTCATAACAAGCTGTCTGAAGAATCAAAAAGAGCTGATAAGCTAGCATTTGAAATGAAACGACTTGAAGAAAAACATGAAGCTTTAGTCAAAGAAAAAGAGGTAAATCTCTTGAACAAGAGTTTCTTTGAACACCTAATTAATCTCTCTGAAATCACAGAATCACAGAATGCTAGGGGTTGGAAGGGACCTCTGTGGGTCACCCAGCCAACACCCCTGCCAAAGCAGGGTCTCCTACAGCAGGCTGCACAGGACCTTGTCCAGGTGGCCACCCTTGAGATATTTATAAGCATTTCTAAGGTCCCCTCTCAGCCTTCTCTTCTCCAGGCTGAGCAAGCCCAGCTCCCTCAGCCTCTCCTCATAGGAGAGATGCTCCAGTCCCCTCCTCATCCTCGTAGCCCTCCGCTGGACTCTCTCCAGTAGCTCCTCATCTTTCTTGAACTGGGGAGCCCAGAACTGGACACAGTGCTCCAGATGGGGCCTCACTAGCGCAGAGTAGAGAAAGGAGGAGAACCTCCCTCGACCTGCTGGCCACACTCTGCTTAATGCACCCCAGGCTGCTTGAGGAAAACCTTCCCAGAAGTAGTGGTGCCATAAAAATGAAGTTCAGCACCTTGTGTTTGTGTGTATACACGTATAAAACATAAAATATGTCTTCAAATGTGTGTGTGTCAGTACTATTCCTGATTAATGTTATGTGGTCTTAAAGTGGTGCAGCATGACTTAATTCCATCTCACATCTATCTTCTTAGAGACTGGTGTTACAGTGTGATGCATTGAAGGAGACAAATGAAGAGCTCCGATATTCACAGATGCAGCAGGATCACCTGAGTCAAGCAGGTACTGCTTTATCTTCAGAGGCTTTATATGTATATTAGTAATTTCTTTAAGTTGGTTAAATTAAATTTCCCATGCAATTTCAGGTGTATCTCGTGATAAAAGCCACGAGAATCTTGCTGCTGAAATTCTACCAGTGGAATACAGGTAAGACATAAAGGTTGAGGCTGTTTTGGGATTTTCATGGGTGGGGCATAATATCGTCTCTGTGAAAGTTCAATGTTTTCAACAACAGGACTCTCTATCCCACTTACTCCTTTCCCTCCGTGATGCTTGTCTGGATCCTCAAGTAGCTGCTAATATTTCCCTGTAGCATAATTACTTAGCACGCTTTCTTAAAAGCATACTGGATTTCTGTATATCAAGTTTGGCTTGAAATATCCTTTTAAAGGAGCGAAACAATTCTTATCTTGCCGGTGTCGGACAGAATAAATAAATAATACACAACAACTAAGACAGAACAGCTAAAGGCTAGCTAATACTATTTTTAAAGACGGGCAGAGTAAAACATAAAGGCTCAACAAAATCTGGGTTTGGAGTGACTTAATTTAAAACTTTGTTCATATCTCTGAAACCATTGTGGTGTTTGAAAATCATAACTTACCTGTCAATAAAAAATTGCATTGTTTCCCCAACTGTATCTTAAGCAGAAATTGTGTTGCTCACTTCAAGGTTGGGGGAGCAAACAGTATTGTTGTCTCCTACTCTTAATCACCTTTTTCTTGATTAACAATGACTTTTTTGTTGTTTTTGATTCAGAGAAATGTTTATTCGGCTGCAGCATGAAAATAAGATGCTTCTATTACAGCAGGAAGAATCAGAAAACCAACGTATTACTGAGCTCCAGGAGCAGCTGGAGCAAAAGCATCGGACGGTGAACGAACTAGAAACTGAGAAGAGGTGATGGGTGAAAAAGCATCTTAAAATATAGCACAAAGTGATTTCTGGACCTTCAGAGCAGCCTTATGTCTTGCATCTGTAGCGTAGCACTGTGCAGGAAGCCAGTCATTCCATCTAGAAACAGAACATCCAGTTCTGTTTCTAGAACTTCAAACTAATCATGTTTGAACACTGGCATAGGGTCTGAATTTATCAGTTAATGAATGCTGACAGTACAGTTTACTAGGAGGTGGAATTTTGGGTAGTTATGTTTTCTCAATTTAAAACGATTCTAGGACTTCAGTTATAAAATGTTTAATAAAACTGCCATGTATTTGTTTCAGCAGAAGTTCAAGTCAAACTAAAAGAATTTGAAATGTTTCTTTGTGGCTGAAGTCCTGCTGGGTAAACCCTCTGAAAAATTTAGTCAGACATGAAACAGAAAAATCTGTCTTGTCTGTTGTGATCTGTTTAGATGGGTAATAACTGTCTTTTCCTCCTAAAAGGCTAGATGAAGAGCGTATTGGGGAGTTACAACAGCAGGTTGAAGATCTGCAAAAGACTTTACAGGAGCAGGGATCCAAGAATGAAGGAGTAAGTGAAAGTTCAGGCTTCTTGACCTTGGAGACAGCTTGCCAATTTTGTTTAAAATCCTTCAGTGTAACATCAAGTCCTTTGCTTAGATGTGCCTCTTATTCGGTGTGTCTAGTACTGGTAACTAGGTAACTAACCAGGATCCTGCTTCGGTGTTTTTGGTTTTTTTCTTTAATTAGTTTGAAATGCAGTAGTAAGAGTGAGCAAGCTCTGAAGGCTGTTTGGGTCACCCAGCCCAGGGTCCCCAACCCAAACAAATGCACACCTCTTAAAAGACCTTGCAAGTAAAGATCTTAAACAGTTGAGGCTGTTCAGTGTATTCTAAAAACACTCTTCTGCCCAAAACCAACTCCCTCAGACTGCATGACACAGACTTGGCTCCACTGTATTCAGAGGAGATGAGTTTAGTCTCTATAGTACAAGAATCCACAAGACCCCCACTCCAACTGCATTTCCATTGAAAAGCTTATGTTTTACGTGATTCCTTCCCTCATCTGCTTCTTTAAGGAACTGAAACTCATCTACCTTCTGCTTTTACATTTAAAAATCTCGATTGTTACCATTAAATGTTGGCATAGTGAGAAGGGTAGCTCTAAAGGAAAAAGAAGCTGGAATTGGTATCTGTAATGCAAAAAATGAATGCAGATACGGAAAGGCCTGAAAAAATGCAATTTTGTTAGGATTTATTTGGTTTGAGTTCGTTAGGTGTGCTAAGTGTTCTTGGCTTTACCATCGCATGTTGTGAAATGCTGAAATAGTAACTGAATTTTAACTCTTTCCTTTCACAGTCTAGCAACCTGAAGCAGAAGTTGGCAGCACATATGTAAGTAAGGCACTTGCACCCACAATAGCTTATTTATGCTAGCTAATTTGACTATGGTAGCACAGAAATTGCTGAAGTCATTGTAGGGAAGTCTTATTTTTAAGCCACTGATTTGAGAACCATGCATGTAGTGAGTTCAGCGTCAGCATTCAAATTTTGTCTAATCTGATCATGATAGTGTTGTAATAGTATTATCCACCTAGCTATCTCTTCATCACCAATGGCATTTTAACTGTTCTGGTTCTACAACAGACTGCCAAAACCATTACTTAGTGGACTCAAAACTTATTTCATTCTTCTGAAATAATTCCATCCATTCAGTAGATGTAGTTCCTGCTAAGGAGATGCTGGAGGTTCATTTTTTTTTGTTTGTTTCTTGTTTTAGATAAATGAGACTCAGTTCAGAAACTTTTATGGTTCTTCAGAAATAGTATTCCTGTTTAAACTCCAAAGAATTGTCAGCGTTTAAAGTAATTGTTTAAACGTTTCCACCATCACGTTTCTGAGTTACAGAAGAAAGAGGCTGATCTTTCAGAACTCCAGCCTGACGTTAGTCAGAACCGTAAGTTGTTTTGTGTGTGGGTTTTTTTTTGTTTTTTTGGGGGTTTTTTTGAGACTATGTTAATTATCTTCTGAAATTATTCCCATAGCTCCTGGGCTATGGGATACTTCTTTGGATAAGGCTTTCTGCTACAGCTTAGATTTAAACCTGAAAGGGGTATGGGGGGGAAGGTTTTCCTGCACATGGTGGTGGGCAGGAAGAGGTTCATGAGGGCTGAGTTTTGTTGTGCAATAACCTGCAAAACAGGAATTCAGGGTCAGGCGGGAACTTAAGGTAAGACTGAAACAGGAATTCAGGGTCAGACGGGAACCTACGGTAGGACTGAAACAAAGAAAAGAGGTTGTGTAGTAGCTAATGAGTTTATTTGGAGGGTGGTTAAAAGAACACAGAAGCCTTGAAACTACCGTGTCTGTTTTTATTTTGTATGTCTTTATTGATAATTTCTGTAAATAGCTCAGAAGATTGGAGAGCTGGAAGCAGCTTTGCGAAAAAAAGATGAGGATATGAAAGCAATGGAAGAAAGATACAAAATGTACCTTGAGAAAGCAAGAAACGTGAGTGGCATGTTTCTGAACATACATCTTCCTCCCTCATAAATTGTTAAACAGATATGAGTTCTGACCCCACCCCAATTAAAATTAAGTAGCTGCGTGTTGCATTTTTAGTCAAATTGCTCAACTGTAGTCAGTTAAGTGTATGAGAGAGTGGGGTTTAGGCTAAAGCGTGAAATGTATTAATGATTCCTGTGTATCCTTTGATACCTCGATATTTTCATCTTCTGTGGTACCTTGATGTACCCTGTTTTTGTATTTCTGCTGTGAGCAAATGAGATGCGGAGCTGTTGAACGTCAAACCTGACTTGTAATGCTTTTGTTTTGCATTGTACAGGTGATAAAAACCTTAGACCCCAAGCTAAATCCAGCATCAGCAGAAATTATGTCGCTCAGAAAACAGATAATGGAGAAAGACAAGAAAATTGAAGCACTAGAGGTAAAAACTTAGATATATTTAATTATAACTTCTAATATATTCTGCTTTCCCTGATACTAGACACTGAAGTTACTGTTTCCTAATGATCCAGTACACTTCAGCGCTGCATTCAATTAGAATCTGCACAGGCCATCAAACCTAGATATTTTTTGTTTGGCTTAATTAACCTTGTATATCCTAGTATGAGTCTGTCAGATCAGTTTAATTTTCAACAGTGTTTTTCAATGTACAACTGAAACACTGATTTGGATTATTTCTAAACCCTCTGAAAAGCTGTAAGGGAAGTACTTTGTAAGGCTAATGGTTTTGCCGTGTTACGGTAACTTGTACAGAGCTGCAGAGTCTGACCTTTTTCAGCAGTGATGTAACTTAGTTTGTATGAGGGACTAGGTATTTGAGCAGTGACTTGTTTAATTTGCTAGACCTCTGATATCAGTGGCTTCATGTACTGGAGTTCTTGAAACTACGTAGGAGAGTAAAGCCAGTTAATTCTGTAAAATGTGCTTGGCTGAAATCCTGAAAGGATTATTGACAGTAGTCCAAGGACCAAAAAAATATGGGAAATGCTGCATTCAGTTTTACAGCAATATTGATGGGACTGGTTAGAACCATTACCTGAGCAAATACAAAGTTCCTCAACATGAGTTAGTAGGCTGAAAGGTCTGACTGCATAAATGCTGTGGTCTCAGGTTTCTTCTATGTGTATGTACTAGGGAAGTGTACTGTAGAACAGTAATTCAGTAACATGATACGAATATTCACCCACTAGGGGTACGTTCTTGTCTGTTGACTTTCAGGTGAAAAAATTACTAAATTATTTACAGATTTTTTGGATACCCCTTGGACTTTCATGTTCCCCCCCCCGGCCCCCCCCCCCCCCCCAAAAAAAAAAAAGTTTCTAAGTGTAAAGTTTTTAGCCTCTTCTTGAAGTAGTCTAAAATTTCTCTCATAATCATTTATGGAAGTATCTTTATTTACACTTCTAAGCCTTGTAGTTATTTTACATATTTAAGCACTTCTGCTGCATGTGTTTGTTTCACTTAATGGACTGCACAAGTTTACGTAGACTATTTCTGTGTTTTAATTGAGATTGTCTTCTCTATTGTCGTCTTGCAGGCTGAATACAAACTTGCAAAGTTATGTGATTACGAGGAAAAGCTAATTGTAACTGCGTGGTATAACAAGGTGGGTCAGAAGTTCATTTGTTGGTATCTCAAACAGAAATACATTATGCTAAGTGTGATGATTAACTCTTACATTGCCTTTTTTATTTCTTTCTAGATTCACAATAAACTGGTACATAAGAGAGAAAGCTAGTAGTTTAGCTACTTGTGACAGAAAAATCCAACTTGCAGATTGGCGTGACCTTATGTCTAGAAGCAGGGAACTAATGAAAGGAACAAAGCTAGAGAGTTACAGTTTAAAAAGAGATTGCTCTTCCACTTGCTGATCCTGACTTCAAGCCAGAATCCAGCATTTCCAGTCCTATTGAGATGGAGTCACCATCCCTGGAGGTGTTCAAAAAACGTGTAGATATGGCACTTCGGGACATGGCTTAGCAGGCATGGTGGTGATGGATTGATGGTTGGACTTGATGATCTTAGGTCTTTTCTGACCATTATGATTCTGTGATTCTAACTTGAGAAATAAAATACCAGCATCAACATTTTTGATAGCAGCATAAAGGTAAAATGATTTAACAATCAACTATTTTATAAAATTATTTTATTATGTTTTCTGCTTGTTTTCTGTGCTTTGAAACAGGAGACATAAAATTTGGCATAGGCCATGACTTCCGTCTTAGTAATGTACTACTCACTGCCATAAGCTTCCATCCGGATTTAGCAGGCTAAATTCCTGAATGTTCAATGGATGTTTATTGTTGAAGTTTTTGGCCTTGAGACAAAGGGAGGCAGTGGTTCAAAAGATTTCCAGACTCCTGCTTTAGATGTTCAGTGTCTTTATCACAGTATTTGTGAAATAAATCCAGAGCCATCTTCTTATCCTGCACCAGTGTTGCAAAGGTTGCTAGAACGTTTCATGTTAGATTGCTGTGAAAAGGACTGGAGAAAGTTGTTCATATGAAGCAGTGCTTAAATAGAGTTTCATAACAAAAGACTGGAATGGGAAATCAAAAAAGGAAAGTAAAATTAAAAGGCTTAATAAAGGAACAACTTTACAATAAGCTAAAATTAGCGCATTCTGTGTGAATGTGAATTAATCTTATTTTCTTCGGCCTTGGTGTATAGAATTACCATAGGATCATAGAATGGTTTGGGTTGGAAGGGACTGTACAGATCATCCAGTTCCAGCCTCATGCCGTGGGCAGGGACCCCTTCCACCAGCCCAGGGTGCTCAAAGCCCTGTCCAACCTGGCCTTGAACACTGCCAGGGAGGGGGCAGCCACAGCTTCTCTGGGCAGCCTGGGCCAGGGCCTCACCATGCTCAGAGTGAAGAAGTTCTTCCTTGCATCTAATCTAAATCTGACCTCTTTCAGTGTAAAGCCATTACCCCTTGTCCTGTCACTACGTGACCTTTTACGGCAGCGAGAGGGTGTGTAAGAAAAACAGTGAAAGAAATCGTGCGCATATGGAGTAAGCATGAGCTTTGTGTATGAAAAATGGCTGGCTTTTTTCTTCCACTTTTGCTATAGTGTAAATGTTATTTAACTCGTTTGCAGAGCCTAACTCTTCAGAAGCTAGGTATGGAAGCAAGACTGGTTGGCAGTAGTGGTGCCTGCAAAGATGGTCCCGGATGCTCGTTCCTAGCTCAACAACGTCATGTCACCAATACCAGAAGGAATCTCACTGTTAAAGTACCGGGTGCAACATCTGATTAAACTACAAGGACCATGAGGAAAACTGATATGCTAAAGTGTCCTTAAATGTTTTATAGCTTCCACTGTAATTACTTGATGAAAGAGGAGGTTAGAATGGTGGGCAACTGCAAATTCAACATCAGAACCTATCAAGAAGTGATTAAGTTGGTCACTAGTGTGTCCAGAAGGTAGCACATAGTTTTCCAAGTAGAAGTAGATTTAAGAACTGCAGTATGTATTTACAAGCACAATTTAAAAGATTTATATATGCCTTCAGAATATATTGTAAATATAAAAATTGGCATTATATATTTAAAACTTTATTTAATGAGTTTGGGCTATAAGGTTGACTTTCATAATGAGACAATGTTATGCAAAAATGTACTTCAGGAAACTGGCAATATTGGGCATTTTTACTGGTCTGTTTAAATTAAAAAAATTGGTACTATGTTTTAAAAAATGCTTTTTATAGAATAAAAAGTACAATTTTAAAAGCAAGAAATTATTTGTATTTATAGAAAAAGAAAAAAAGATGTAGTACCAGTTGATTTCTTAAGTAACAGAAGATGGGATTTGTTGTGTCGTCTCAAGTGAGGAGCAGAATTAATTTATTTAAAAAAAAAGAAGATTTAAGTTTGCGCATATATGCATTAAGGAAGACCTGTCTTTAAGATGTTGAATTCACTAAAGCCAAATAAGCTGTGTTTTCCTGTGTAAGTAAAAAGCTATTACAATGATTCAAAAGTCTGGGCTATGTTTTAAGTCTGGTGTATTGGTACACTTCATTTAGTTGCAGAAAGGAGGTGAGGTGGGAAGGAACCCCCCCTTTTTTCCAGCTATTTATACGACTCTGTGCATAGAAATTAATTTTCATCTTTTTTAAAATGTAGTTTCACTTCAGTTATTCTGAACTAACTGTGCTAGGCAGATGAATGAAAGATGGCAGCAAAGGTTGTTGGCAGGGAGAAAAGTGCATAAACTGTCATAGTTCTGCAGTATCTAGATCGAAGAAAATGAAATGGGGATTAATATGATATTTGTGTGGGAGGTTGCTATCTTTCACAGAATTTGTGTCACTTTATTTAACAAATGTCTTTTCTGAACTGTATTTTTAGAAAACTTGTTATTGTCCATTCTTCTTTGCAAACTATCTAGAACAAATTAATTGTACCCATAGTTAAATAAAACAAAATTGCAGCAGCCCTCTAAAATAAAGTGAATACACTTAAACTAAGTATTTGAGCATGCTGTACCAGTGGGTGATCTAATGTAAGACTCGGCCATATGCGTGAATGAAAGCATATGTGTGTCTGCACCATTAAGGCCATCTTTGATTTGAGAGCAGGGTTCAGCTTTGCAGAATTTGTTTTGAATTGTGGAATTTGAGTAGTTTTCCGTTTTGCATGCCTCTCAGTATGGCTTGCTCTTTGATTTCTTCCCTCCCCCCCATCTTAAATCCTTTACTGAGCATTGCATGCAATGCTAGAGAAAAGGGAAGTACTCATTTTTAGTATTAATTTCGTTGCTTCTGAGTTGTGGTGATAGTTTTACAGTGCTATACATTTAGGCATTCGATGGAATTTTCCTCTTTCAAAACTTGTGTCTACACAAGGCATTGTTTAAAAGCCAGTCTCTTGCTCAGTGCGGTGTGAGCAGAGAATATGCCAGACACACTGCCCTTGGAGAGTTTTGTCTGTCAGGTTGTGTTCTTCAGGACTCTGTGCTTCTTTGGACTACCTCTTGGGTTTTGAGGTCTCTTATTGCTGCAGTGGTATTAGTGGGGTTTGTATTTTTAAGATGCAGTTGCTTGTTTGATCTGCTTGTGGTGTGGGAGATGGTGGTGAGCAGAGGAACAGGAGACTCAGTGTTAGCAAGATGCTTACATTTCTAAAGCCTGGTTACTTTGGTGTGTTCTAGTGAAATGTGAAACTGTCACTGGTGGTGTTGAATGGGTCTCAACCCTTGTCCTTTGCAGCATGGAAACCTTCATGGACGTCTTTCAGTACTCATCTAGTTAGTAGGCTAGGTGCATTCATTGTACTTCTCACAGTAGTAGAGCTGTGTCAGTAGTTATATCAGGTGCTGAGTAGTGAAAAACTTGGAGCAAATGTCTTTGATGTACACTTCTCAAAACTGCAGACCCTGGGGCCAAAAATGACCAAGAACCTTCCTATCATGTAATTGGAAGCTTGCCTACTGAGTAGCAGTGGAAGAATATAAACACGGAACTATAGACGGGGATCAGCCTCTTTCAGGGCAAGGTTGCCTCCAATACTCTGTTTGGAGTTGCCAAAAATGCATCAGGTTTTCAGGTATTAAATAGAATTTTACCTATTTGGGACTCTTCCAAACTATTCAAGTTAAGCCTGCGATTATAGCTTAAGTGTTTCTTTGGGATTAAGAACCTGTTTAAGAGTGACTTTTATAACTCGTGAAACTTGGGCTGTGTCCTATGAGTGAGGAACCAATCTGTAGAAATAAATGTTTGATGATAAGCCGTGGTGTTGTGTTCACTTCAGCTTCTCTGGCTGTGCAGGAAAGGATCATTGGAATAAGTATCACTTTAACGTTAACTTCATTCATGTCAAATAAAAACAGCTACTATTAGCGTTGCTGTTACAGCTGAGTAGTATGCAACGCGTAGCAGCAGAACAATGTCAATACAACGTTCTTTGATGCAATGCCACTGCTGAGGCAAGACAAGGAAAGAGGCTACTTCTTGCTGCCGCAAGATGAATTCGTATCATGCCCAGACCGCACAGTTAGGAACAGATTCAAATTGTCATGAAATCATTGAATGTTGCTGAATTTAATCAGTATTATTGGTTACTTGAGCCAGTTTCTAGTATAACGGGTAATAGACATCCAAAGAAACAAAAATATGTTCTGATTGACATATCATTTGTTAATATTTTTTGTATAAGATTTAAGAATAACCACTAAGGAAGTGTTTTGTAGCAATAATACAAATTTTGGACTAGTAGGCTCTTTTACTCAAGGTGGATCAGGCAGCAGTTTTGAGAAGATTATTTTGTAACAACTATATTATGGTGGATTAAGAAATATTCACTGAAAGTAAATTTTCACCTTACTGATTTTTTTCATTAAATATATATATGGGTATTCTATTTTCTATAATATACACTTGGAAATAAGTAATATAAGCAATACTGATGTTTTATTTAAGTAGCTGTAAGTAGTTTAGGAATTAGAAAATGAAAACAATTGTTTAAGAGTTGGTGATGTCTAGTAAAGTAATTTTCTTAACTCTTTTGCTTTTTTCCCATCCCTCCAGTAGTCAAGCTGGAGTTAAGGTTTTCAGTGTATCAGTGTCTACTTCTGTTTAAGACAAATGTAAACACTGTGTTGCATAGAACTTGAGAAGTTGCACTGATTTTTAAACTTCTGGTTTTAATTTTCTTTGGAAAGATTTCTTTTATATTCACATAAAGATTTTTAAAACAAGTTGTTTGGTGTCTTTATTCCAAGCAATGTATTTAATGGTGTCTAGCTGCTGTAAGCATCCATGTTCCTGGGCAACATGTGGGTCTGCACGTTGGCATAATCACACCACCTAAAGTGTCCTGTTACAGGATACGTAACGGGTAGGTACCAGGAGTGCACGTATGTTGTGCTGTAGCAACAAATCAGAGTTGTGCTGCCTTCCCCTCTCATTCTGCTGACAGTCATCTGAGAGCTGGGCGAGTGACGCTGTGGAGCGAGAGCAATAAAACCCGCCGCAAACTGGCTGTCGAGTGACTGCAGTGATTGCTTATTGCTACTGAGGTGAGTCAGGACCTCTGCCTCCTCTGCTCAGCCCTGCCTGAGAGGACACAGAGCACAGGTACACGCTTCTGCATCACCGTGCTGCTTGTTATTTGGAAAGGGAAACTGCCCACTTCAGTCTGCTTTGCAGGTGACTCCTGTGCCTGGTTCTTGGGCTTGTTGACAGCCGCCTGTTCCCTGAGCACTAACCTCAGCCCAGAAGGGAGCCTGGGGGTGAGAGCAGGCAGCCGTTCCGCCCTCCGGAGCCAAGATCGGCAGGGAGAAGGCCTCACAAACTTCCTTCAGGGGCCCCGTTTCAGACCTGGTTTTTACTACAGGCTTGTCCTTTCTCTGAAGGGTAAAATGCGACCTGACTGTCCTGGTGTTGGTAAGTGACAATTTCTATTGCCTTGGGCTGCGAGCCCTGTGAAGATGCCCCGTGGAGGGGCCTCTGCGCTGGCAGAAGCGTTCCAGTGACCGTGGAGTGAATGGCCAGATAGGGCAGAGCTGTTTTTCCTTCTTTCTGAGGCTTGGAGGCAAAAGAGACACTGAAGAAAAAAACCCTGCAGGTGTGCTTCGGAGGGAGGAGGGAAGGGAAGAGGCCCTTGGCTGTGCAGGAAGCCCGAGCCGAGCTGCAGGATGTCTTCAGCTCATGCGTGATCTGTCACAGGGCGCTGCGGCAGCCACCGCTGCCTTCCTGAGCGCAGGAGCAGTGAGCGAGGGCTGGGGTGTGCAACAGGGGGCTCGGTTTCCAAGCACTTGGGCGTGAGAAGCGAAGTTCAAATGCAGGCTGCCTGTGCGGAGCCTGGGTCTGCGACCCTGTCTGCTCACGGCTTTTCTGGTAGCTGCTGGAGAGCCGAGCACTGCAGCAGAAGGTTTGCATGCCCGGGCGAGGAGTGTCCCTGGGAGAGGGGTTCAGGACTACAGCCCCGAGCACAAAGAGAGGGAGGAGGAGAGGTCAGCCATGCGTGGGAGATGGTTTCGGTGGAGGGGATAAAAGATCTGAGGAGCCCTTGTGCGAAAGGGTCCTGTGAAATGTGCTCTGCTTGGAGAACAACTAACCCAGCGGAGACCCAGGGAGGAGTGGGAGGAAGCTTTTGGATATAGCAGCAGCCTGGGAAAGGAAATGGGACTCTGAGCCTAGGGATTGGAAAAAAAAAAAGTCAGGTGACACCTGCAAACTGGAAGGGCTTTGGGAGTAATGCTGCACACAAGAGAAACTCTCCACTGCTCTCCTCTCCTGTTTCCAGTCAATTCCAGGCACGCAGCCCTCTTCCAGCCTTCCCCTTCTGCTTCTCCCGAGGAAGGAAAAGAAAGAACATAAAGCCTAGAAAGTCAAATGAGCTTCCTTGTTTCTGCCGCGGAGGGAAGGTGTGGGAGCACCTTGCCAGGAGCAGGTCGAGAGGGCAGCTAGCATGGGGAGAGAAGAGAGGGTGAGCTGGGGTTGGGGATGTCTCATCCCACTTTTAGCGAGAACCTGGTCGCATCTGCATGTTGTAAATAGGTTGGCTGGGCTCCCACCATGTGTTCTCACATCTCCACCTTACGGATCTGCGAAACGGGAGCCCCAAGTGCCAGAAACAGCATCTTAGCCCAGCCTCATGTTTCCACCCGCCTGTGTGTGGCACAGAAAATCAGAGGAGAGGACAGAGCCTCTCCACCACCCTGTGCTTGAAGGAGCCTTTCCAGAAGCCGTGTTCAGCTGCTATAAATTTTGCTTTACATTGTATGGCTGTGCTTGGCCCCCGTGTGCAGCTGCGGGGCCACAGGGTCTTTCTGCCCTTGTGTGGGTCAGTTTGCAGGGCCATCCGAGCCTTCCATGTGCTCAGAGGAGAGAAAAGTACAGGTTAAAATTGAGGGATTTAAAATTCACCTGGGCATTAATGCCTGCATGAAAGAAGATGCTTTTAGTTCCTTCAGGAGACAACTTAATTCTCAGAAGGGACACTGGGAAAAAATTTGCTTCCTCTAGGAACATGCAAAAAGTACTCCAGGAGAAACTGAAAATGAACAGCAAAAGGTTGCTTTTTCCTTGCTTCCTCCGCAGGTGAGCAGGAGCTGGAGGTGTGTTATCGGCGTGGTGTTGTGCTGTGCCTGCCTGCCCAGCAGCCCTGGTCCTGCTCCCACTCCCTGGAGCTGCAGCTTACCGTGCCTGGGGGGCCTCGCTGAGGTCTCAGGGTGCCACTGCTGCTGCGTCGATGTATCTGCTGGTGTTAACCATCAGTTGTCAATCCTGGAACTGTTTCATCTTTCATGTGGTGGTTTGAAATAATAATAATTTGTTGCTAGTATTTTATAAGGGATCCATTTATTCATGAGACTGAAAGCAGCAGGCTTAGCCATGCGTTCTGTGTTGCTGGAGCTCAACCCTCTGTTCCTACAGCATGCCAGCCCCTTGGTGGTGCTGGGCAGGTAAACAGGGAGGATTTGTCATATTCTGAGAGGTGGGACCCACGACTTCGGTAGCTACAGGTACAGATGTTTTAGGGAGAGATCTGTCAGTGGAGAGCACTCCCCGTGCTCCGTGGGGGTGTTACACTCTTCATTGCTGTGGCAGGCCAGGACCTGGTAGTTTCGTTGCTAGTTTACCTGTGCTGTCAGGGTCATTTATTTTCATCAGTTTGGTAGGCTGTGCCTGCCAGCCTTGCTGCTACTGGAGGGTGATGCCGCAGCTGGAGGCCAATTTCCAGTGCTGGCAATTGGCTGTGTTGGGCTTCACTTTGCAGAATGCTTCAAGACAAAAACTTGTTGGTAAGGATTTATTGATGCATGAGAAGGAGACATTATAGAGTGACTTTTAATGCATTACGCATCAAGGATAGCAAAATTAAAAAATGTTGGCAATTAATATTCTAAAGCAGAGCTGGTACTGCTCATCGTCCACGGCCTGAACACTGATGTTGCTCTTTCTCCTGCCACGCTGAAGCATGGCCATCTGTTATTAAACCAGGAGAACCCTAAGCCCCTCACTCATTTACAGCGTCGTATCGCAAGCCTAAAAGTGCCCTGGCAGATCCCAGGCTGATCGTCTTTCTCATGTGATACAGAGTGCAAAGTCCACTTTTAAAGGAAATGATTTTGCAATTGCTTGAAGAGAAACCGCCCAGCCTCTCCCTGGAGCTGGGTGTTCGTTACCACCACCCACGGGAGCTGCCCAGGGCTTGTTTTCAGCATCCTTGCCAGAGGACAGTGGCCAAGGCTTCCCTACCGAGGCACGGCGCAGATCTTGTAGGGCTGCGGGGCCATTGTGATGCCCAGTTTGACCTGGGGGCTGAGCGTGGTGTCTGGGGGTGCCTGGAAGGTGAATTTCTGGAGCAGAGACGTGAAGAAGAGGAAGAGCTCGGAGCGGGCCAGCAACTCACCCAGGCAGGCGCGCTTCCCTGCGGAGAGAGCCACCGTGACATCCTCAGCCTTCGCTGTGCTCCTCGCTGCCAAAAAGCCTCTGCCTTCCCTTCAGACCATGGTCCAGCTGTGTGACCCCCTTCCCAGGATGAGTTTTCCAGCCCAAATTGAGCTCCCCAAGAACAGCATTGGTGTTACAGCGTGGGCTGCCCCCCGAATTGCAGGACCTTGTGAGGACACGCGTGTGGTGCCCTGCCCTGCTCGGGTAAGCTGTGCTCGCACGCACGGTCTGGACGTGCCCATGCTGGGAGAGATGATTTGTTTGAGCCACACCAAAGAGAGCTACCAGAGAAGGTGTGTGACGCTGGCATGGGAAACAGGGGTGCTCAGAGCAATCTCCCTGGGGCAGCTGTTGGCTGGGGCACCCTGTGGTGGGAACAGTGAATCCTCTAGTGACCTTGGCCATGTGGGAGCAGGAGTGTAGAGCAATGCTCTTGCCTTAGTGAAGGCGTTTCTGGGTTCTCTGGCGTTGTTAGGGTGATTTATTCATTCGCATGTCTCTTCTGTGCATGTGAAGAGAAACAAGAAATGGCTCAGACTGTGCTTGCAGTGCTTTGGGGTGTCCACGTGAGTGTGCCTGGGGTGCAGCCAACATCTGCCCCTTTGGTCGCAATTTTCCTCTGTGCTGTTGGAAGCCCCATGCCAGTACCTAAGCACCGAAGTACCAAAATCGAGCATATCTTACCTATAGAAAACGGCATAAAAGACTCCCTTTTCCAGAACTGGCCGTCCTTCAGGAAATGCTCGGGGTTGAAAGAGTCAGGGGTTTCCCACTCATCCTTGTCAAACATCACGGAGGTCAGATTTACAGAAATAAAAGTACCCTAGGATGAAAAAAAAGAAAAATAAATTGCACTTTCTCTGTCACAGACAGCAGGAGGGGGATTTTTATCTTCCAGTCTCCACGAAGAACATCCATAGTAATATTCTGCTGCAATTATTTGTCCAACACCCTCTGCACGGCCAGTTTTTCCTACTTCTTGCCTGTTCAGAGGTGCAGTGATTTTATGCCAATCTTTTTGCCTCATGGGCATCGTTTTTATCTGCTGTAATTTTGGGCCAAAGTTCCAGTAAAAGCTGTGTGAGTTGGGATCTGTGCCTTGCTGGGGGGTGTGTGTGTGTGGGTGTTTGCCTTGCAACGCTCTGCACTATTCAACGTGCTGGAGAACATTGTTTGGGTGGCAAAAGACTGCGTTGAAGAGGAGTGAGCTCTGGACAGGGCAGAGACGCTGTGGCTCTGCCCCTCGTGTCTGCACAGGAAGGACCTGGCCTGGAGAAGCGTGCCTGGGGAACTGGGAGGCTCTCGCTAGAGTCCCAGTGCTCAGGAGTGGGTTTACCTTTGGTATGTGGAAGCTATCCAAGACCGTGTCCTTTGTTGACATTCTTGGCACATTGAAAGGGATGATGTTGCCTTTCCTCTGCACTTCGTGGATGACGGCGTTGGTGTAGGGCATGTTGCTCCTGTCCTCCAGGGCTGGCTGCCTCACCTGCCCGATGACCGCATCGATCTCGGCTTGCACGTGGGCTGGTGAGAAAGAGCAGGGATCAGCCAATTCCAAGAAAAATCCCTTAGAACAACATGGGGTGGTTGCTGTGAGGATGCACCAAGGACCAACGTGGGGCACCTGCCACCGTTCGCACCTCTTTCTTTTGAGTGAAGGGAGATACACAATTTTTCTCTCAAAGCAAAAAAAATAGTGCATCTCAGAAATGTGCGAGGGCTAAAAGCAAGGACAAGCACTGAGCTTTTTAAAAATCCGTTGTAACAACAGGGGGTGGTTACTGTGAGGATGCACCAAGGACCAAGGTGGGGCACCTGCCACCGTTCGCACCTCTTTCATGTGAGTGCAGGGAGATTCTCAATTTTTCTCTCCAAGAAAAAAAATAGTGCATCTCAGAAATGTGCAAGGGCTAAAAGCAAGGACAAGCACTGAGCTTTTGCTAACTGTACCTTGAATTTCTGGATGTATGGCCATAAAGAGCAGAGCCCAGCGGATGGTTGTGGAAGTGGTCTCGGTTCCAGCAAACAGCAGGTCGAGTACGCACGACACGATGTTTTCCTCCTGGAAGGCTCCACTCCCGTTGTCCTTCACAAAAAGGTGCGTTAGTGCAGCATGAACAGGGAGGGTTGCCTTTGCTTAGTTCAAGACAGCCCTAAGGATTTTGGAAAAAGCTGCTGGCCCCCTGCACCTCCACCCTCTTGCTTAGTCCCCTGAACCTGATGTCCATGCTGAGGTCATAAATGGCCATAGAGGCAGCTCAGATGGAGAATTTGAGCTTGTTTCTCATCCCTCCTGATTTCTAAGCCCTGCTGCAGAAGGGTTTGCTCCTCCTTACTGACCTTGGCCATCTCCTGCAAGTAGCTGTCAATGATGTCCCGGCTCTCTGAGGGGTTCCAGTCCTCCTTGTGTTTGTCGATTTTCTCTTTCACAAAACTTTTCAACAACCTCAAGTTTTTAGCCTTGGACACCAAAGGGGAAAGGCACATTGAGTAAAGGACTGAAAAACCCCCTTCTGTTGTCAAAACTTGAAGAGTCTGCAATGCCAAGCTTAATAAATCTCTGGAGTTGATGGAAATCGCTGAGGCCCAGAAGAGCATGGCAAGGGATTGGTATTCCTGTTACGGAGTGACTCGTGCTTTTACCCGGTGTTACAGCAGGCGAGTTGGTAGTCAATGCGCAGGAAAGGTGATGTTGGGTGAGAGAGAGCAGCGTGAGCTTTGCACAGCTTGCAAATAAGGCAGAAAGAAACTGCAGGTGAGTCTGCCCTGTGCAAAGGAGTGGGGAACGCCAACAAAGTTTGTTGACGAAAATGCTACGAGTTTCGAGACTGACTCCAGAGGAGACACTGTGGCACTGCAGAACTGCATGCTGTCCATGGTGGTGGCAAGAGGGCTGTACCTGGCTCATGATGGTCCCAGTGAGGCCAACCATCTCGTCCATCAGCTGCAGCAGTTTTTGGAAGTCCTCATCGTGGTAGTCAAACCGATTGCCAAAAGTCACGGAGCAGATGATGTTTGAAACAGCATTAGTGACTTTGAACTGAGGGTTGAAAGGATTCCCTGGAGAAGGAAAAAGGAATGATCAATTGTCTATCGGCCTTCACAGAAAAGGAGACGAAAACACAGTTGTCAGAGGTAAAATACTCAACAAATAGAAGTGAAATGAATGACCTCTGATGGGCACCTCCTGCATCATGACTCTCCCGGGACGCCTCGCACCTGTCATGAGGTGGCCGAGCTTGGCTGGGCAGACCCAGCATGGAGGAAACATCCTACCCTCGATCCCGGTTCAATCAGGTTGTAGAGAAGTTTGTTTACTTTGGAAAGAGAGGGCCATGGCACTCACCCTGCTCATCCCCAAATGCATCCACGAGGCATCGGCACTCCTCCTGGATGCGCTCCTCCAGGCCCCTCTTCCCCAAGCCGAAGTTTCGGAGGGTGGTCAAGGTGAACCTCCTCTGCTGCTTCCACACGTGCCCGTTGGAGGAGACCAGTCCTGGCAGAAACATGCCACCATGAGCCAAGGCAGATCCGTCCACTGAGGGGAAAAAGCTCCAGGGCTCTGCCTTACCCCCAGCCATCTCAGACCTCTGCAGGGCCAATGCTTTGACCTCACAGCTGAGACACGTGTCCCGAGGGGTAACTCACCCTTATTGCTGAAGATGTCATTAGGAATTTCAGGGCGATCCATGAAGTTTTCCCCTTGGTTGACAAGAACTTCCTTAGCCATCCGCAGCCCGTTTACGAACACAAACGATAAGCTGCCCATCTGGAAGCTGAAGATGTCCCCATATTTTTCAGTAAGCTGGGGGGAGGGGCATAAAGAAGAGGGGGATAATTTGCGATGAATGTGTCTGTGGGGACAGGGACAGCCCTGGCAGGGGACATGGGTGAAAAAAAGGGAAGCTGAGAGCAGGAGGGGAGACGGGGTGTTTGCACAAGGGTCTGCTTGTCTTTTTTTTTTCCTGTTTTACTGAATCGCTGAGGGCGAGTTGGTGTTAGTTGGCCATGAATCAAGTAGAACTCTTCAGGTTGGATTTTTCAGTCCTGTGTTTTTCCACCTTTTGTTTCACTCCGTTCCCAAACACCCTTCCAGTCCCTGGTCAGACCTACGGGGCTCCTACAGCCATGACTGCACCCGTGGCATCACGCCATGTCCTTTGCCCGAGGGATTGCTCCACACCTGTCCCCGTCCTTGTACCCGGGCAAACTTCATCCACATTGCTGGCAACCGAGGGCAAACCTCCTGCCCACGCCACGGTGAGCCCCTCTGAGTCCTCATGGGCTGTGGGGTTTGGGTTAGCCCCCTCCCCGCACTGCAAAGGTTGCGTAGCCGCAATGCCCTCCGTCCCCTTCCGTGCGGTGCCCACCACCCCTGTACCTTCTGCACTGTGATCTGGGGATTGTGGAAGTTCAGCAGTTGGTAGATGTGCCCCACAAAGGGGAGGGCGAAGGGGCTGGGGGGGAAGTTCTTCATCTTCCTGTGCTTCATGTAGTCGGTGACGAACAGGAAGATGACGAGGAAGACGAGGAGCATCTGGAGGGAGATGCTTTCCCAAAGGAAGCGCAGCATGGTTGGGTGGTGGGGTTCCTCCAGGGGGTGTCCAGCAGCAGGTCAGGGCAGGCTGAGCTCACGAGGCACCACCAAAGCCCCCAGGGACGAGGGGAGATGGGCAATGTGCTGGCACAGCTGTGGGCACAGACACGAGACAGCATGGAGTGGCTTTTGGCTGACCTGGCCTGGAGGCTATGTTCGGAGTCCTGCTTTTGCAGGTCTCAGCAAGGACCGTTCGATTAACCTCCTTCTTGATTAAACTCAAACATTTCCTCTGATCTCATTAAAAAAAAACCCAAACCCAAAACAAAACAGCCCCAGCTGCCCCTTTCCCCTCTTGACTGCCACTGCTGCTTTGCAAAACCCCAGTGATCCACACCCTTGTTTAAAGGTCGGAAATGAGCTCTGCGGGACCAGGATTAAAATGTCCCAGCAGCCTCGCCGTCCCGATCCCGTGAGCCCACGGCTCGGTGTGAGCCCCGCTCCCTCCTCCCCATGGTGCCCTCACCGTGCCACGTCCCGACGTCAGCTTCACAGTTCCGGGGAGGCTCCAGCCGCTCTGAGCTCCTTCCGCTTTCCTTGTCTGCGGAAGCTTCTTCGCTGGTACAATGAATCTTGGATCAGCTCCAGGTTAGTGGGGATGTCCAAGATAAGGGTGCATAATCCTTTCACAAGCCAGATGACTCACGGTTTGAAGTTTCAGTACGTCAGAAGAACGTGTGCTGGAAGAAATCAGCTCTCCGGGATCTGCAGCAGTTTCTGAGCACTGTCATTTTCTGATCTCCGCCGGACAGATGCAAGCAAAGCAACCCACTCTGGCCATGAAGTTGCCCCTGCCCTGAGCCCTCCAGCCATCCCTTCCCACCTGCTTCAGCCTTTGAGTCCGTAGCCTGCGCTGAAGCCTTGCCCAAAGCCCGACGAAGCTAAGGCAGGTGCTGAAAAGCCAAAGGAGATGCCCAGCTCTGCAGACTGTGGCCCTTCGGTGGTAACTGGTTACAGTCTGCCCCGAATTTTCTCATCTAAGAGTGGCTCTGAGGCAGGTAGCGATCATGCACATACACCACATATTTAATTTTGACATATGTGTTTAGTCTTCTTATGAAAGAAGCAGAAGCATTCACAGCAGCAGATTGCCATTGCTGTGTGGCTCTGCGCCCGTTTACAGCCGTCAGCTGCCACCTCATGCTCCGGAGGACGATTAGGGTTCGTTTGGCCTTTCAGGGACGTCATTTATGGCTGTTGGGGATGTCCAGTGCCAAAGACCAGGCACAGCGAAGCAGCAGTTGGAGCAATGCCACACACGCGATAGAAAAGCTACTGCCTAACTGTCACCCTTGAGAAATTTGCAGAAGTTAAATCACTGTTTTCTGGGGGATCTTAAGGGGGATAGAACTGTTTTTGAGGGGAATCTCTCTTTTTGTATCTCACTTTTCAACACAGGTAGGCGTGACCCTAAGGAGATGCTCATCTTCCCCTTCACTCAAATGAGACGTTCCATTCAAAAAAATAAAACAAATTAATGCCTCCCTCCTGTATGGTATGGGATCACTACATTTAAAAATGGGGGGGGCTGTGTCCCCAAACTGATTTAAAAACAAAAAGGAGAAGAAGAAGATTTTGATCATTTATTCTCTCCATAAATAGGCAAGGAAACGCTAAAGTAACAGGGAAATACAAGTTTGAAATGGGAGAGAGAAGAGATCAACATTTGTTTGCTAAGCCAGCGCAAATAATACAAGTTGTAGCCACCCACCAGAGGCCAGACCTACACCAGAGTGAATAGAAAAAATGGAGAGAAACCAGTATCAATTCCTGAATGGCTCTGAAAACTTCATAGGTGAAATAAAGTCCAGATCTTTTATGTTTTTCTCTTTTAGAAAGCAAAAGAAAAAACCCCAAACATGGGAGCCTATAACTGTGAAACATTAATTAAATGCAGTAGGATTGAAATGATCAGTTAGAAGGGCAGCTCATCGACACAATCCCTGTGTGCCCGGCGTGGCAGGGATGTGGTGTGCAAAGGACTCTCCCATGCGGCATAAATCTGCCACTGCACAGCGATTGCTTTGTAACGCAGCGGTTATTGCCAGAGATGGAGGCTAAAGCCGGTGGAAATGAACTTTGATTTAATCCTGTTTTCCTGTTAACTCCTCAGTGTCCTACATGCGTCCACATAGAAAAGTCACTTATGAAAGATGAGGAAAAAAAAATATCTTAGCTGTGACTATATTCCTAAGAAAAGCACAGGGGAGACTGCATTTCAAAGCGAGAATGCTTGGTTACCGCAATGGAAAAATTCTCCACAAGTTGGATATTTAATTAACTCTTCCAAAAAGATGCTGGTATGGGCAGAAGCAGTGTCTCCATCCCAGGCGGTGCCATGACCCTGAGCCACCTCCGCGGCCCCATGCTACGGACTTCCCGTTGTGCATGGCCACAAATCTTTGCCAGAAGCAGAAGGGAAGCAGACAAGCTCGTGACTTCCCACTGCAAAGCCTCTGAGCCGCCGTTTCCTTCCCGACAGCCAGCGGCAAGCTGCCACGGGTCACGACCCTTCTGACACTCTCTGCTGCTTCTTGTCCTGTTGGGCTTCAGCTAAACTACTCCTAAGCAATCCCATGCGATAATTTTTTCAAAACTTTTCTTTCCCGTTATGTGTTTTACTACCACAAACCTTTCTGGATAAGCCTTTCCCTTTCATACAATTGCAATTCTGCAATTTTATAGCCATTTGTGTCCTGGAGCCATGGCTCCTCATGCCATCCTGCTTGGGTTGGCCTACAGTAGAAGCTGCTTCTACCACCCTGTAGCCTCCTAATTAAAGCTTCCATATACTTATGATATTAAAAAACTGCATGCCTCTGATGCAAGGATCTCTATTTCCATTGCAAAGCAGCAACATGGTGGTTTTGGGAACGCACAGCAAACTGAGGCCAAGGCACCAGAGCCTCAGAATCAACCATGGCCAACTGGAAGTCCAAACTGGCACTGAGGCATGAACCCAGAGCTTGGATGACCGAGGTCAGCTGCCTCCGCTGACCAGGGAGACCTCAGAAAACACAGCCTGTGGCCATTCAGGGTGCTGCAGCACTGGGATTTAGGGGTTGCTAAATGGGCTCTGGGCGGTGGACGTATCCCTATGGAAGAGCCATCCTGGACCCAGCGTGTCCATGGTTTTGCAGCTGGCAGTAGGAGAGGTGCTAATGGCAGAAATTAGGAAATAAGGCTTTTAAATTCATGCATTTTGCCAAACTGACAGAAGGGAGGAGGCAGGAGGTGAAGGGAAGAGCCCCAAGGGTAGTCCCCATTGCAGTGTGCAGGATGTGGCCCTCCTGCCCTTCCCACTGCCACCCCCACGTTGGTGCGTGCTAGACATCTGCAACCCTGCATTTTGGACCAAAATCTGTGGGGTGGATGGGAGAAGGGACACTTTCTGAATTGTGGAGGGCTGAAACAGGGGAAGCATGGGACGGACCCACGCTGGCCTCAGTTGCGAGGCAGCGCGCAGATCTGGAAGGGCTTGGGGCAGCGCGTGAGGCTGAGCGTGAAGGCGAAGGTCAGCGCAGCAGCCGCCGGCGCCCGGAAGGTGAACTTCTGCAGGAGGGCTGTGAAGAAGATGAAGAGCTCGGTCCTGGCGAGCTGCTCCCCGGGACAAGCCCGCTTGCCTGGAAAAGGAGCAAAAATCAGCCCACCGAGTCCCCAGCGAGCATCAGCCACCCCTCGGGCTCCTCTCGCACTCATCTCCTTGCACAGGCTGCAGGAGCTTTTCTTCCTTGAAAGGTTAGGTGGCAATGTTCACCCACACATTCTGCAGAATCCTTCCCCAGAAGTTTACTGCTGAGCAAACTGCGACGGCTC